GTTTTCGTCGAATTTTTCAACATTTTCATTTTTTTCCACTTTTTTTATGCGTTTTTCTGCTCAATTCCGTTAAATTAATGCATAAAAGTCGTTAAAACGTCATTTCTAACAAAAAACGCCCAATATATCTGAAAAATTCAAAATTTTGGGTGCAAATGAGACACAATTTTTCTTATCAATATTTTTTCTGAGCAACTTTTTTCACATGAATATGCAATCAATTCAAGGACGGCACAAGCTCAATATGCTAGAGAAGCCAATAAAATTTTAAACAAATCTATTTTATCTTCACATTTCCTCTAAAAAATCAACAGAACTGCAGAAAAACTTTTGTTATCTGAAATTAATATTTCTTCAAGGTATGATATGCAGAAGCTTGAACATTATATTAATTGACAATGCATTACTACATTTCAACAAGTCTAAAACATTTCATTGAAAAAAAAATTGCTCAAAAGCACTCAGTGAAAACTCAACTCCTTATTAAATTTATCTCCATTCACTGAATATTGCGTTCTAGCCTTGGTACTCATGTAAAGGGTACCTCAGATTCAAACGATTAGTCTTTTTGCTTAAAAATCATGTGCATAACCATGAGTTAGAAAGATGAATATGCTGTTCTTCAAATTGTTTAACGGATTAACATAAGTAGCTAATCGATGTTTTTGATTGATAAATAACAGGTGTCTCTTCCGTAAATTTTCATTGGAAAGCTAAACAATCTAAATTGTAAATTTTCTTAAAGGTAAACCAAAAACATAGAAGGAATGTCAAATGTTTTGCATATTCTTATTAACAAAAAATACCAAAGATCAGACATTATGTTTCACCCATTCAGTGCTAGTTAATTAAGTATTATTTAGTCAGCCTTAGACAGTTGGAAAACCATTTACAATTACACTATTGATCCTGATCCAGGAAAAAACTTTTAACATTGTTGATTATAAAAGAAAAGAATGCAAAACAATCGAAATGCTAGTTACAAGCTATCTAAATAATAATATATCAGATATGTATCAGTGGTGGGACCGGTTCTTCTTTTTTTTAGAACCGAACCGAAAAAGTTTTAAACAGAGCTGAACCGATTAAAAATCAAGGAGAAAAAAAAGTTTCAAAACTATTATTTTTTTCTAAGAATATGCTCCTAAAATTCTTTATTGAAGAGATGCTTATAATATCATTGATAGTTCTATAAACAAACTAGAAAATTGTAGTAGAAATGATCTTAAGGACATGAGCATTTTCGTTCTCGGGGTAAAAGAAATTTTGAATGATAGAAATCTAGTTTATTTTCAGTGGTTAGTCAATTTTTTCTGTTAATCAAGAGCCGTTCAAGTTATTCTTTTGTCGTCGTCGTTCAGTGCAGATATACATATAGGGGCTACATTTTATATAATACACTCATTTTAAAAGAAAATTAAGTAATATCTTATAATAATTTTTTACTACTTTATTAAATCCAGTTCTACTCTCAACTTAGAAGACTTATATAACAAAGAGAACCTAAAATTGAGAGAAATAATCTACCCATCATCGCAAAATGAACAATTTCAATGAATTTTTAGGCTTTACTTATCGATCTATTTCGAAATATCATTTAAGTGATATTTTCTTAATTAAAATGTTCATTGTTATATATTCCCTGAACGTTAAAAGTAATGTTTTCGTTATCCACTTAGAGTTATTACAACATGACAATTAATTGATACTTATATACATATATGAGTGCTTCATACTGAAATGCAGTCTGTAAAAAGGTACACTGAATGAAACTAATAAGTAGTTGAGTAAAATCAGAAATTAGCTACACTTTCTTTATTCACTCTTAGTGAATATGTTTGTTACAAATTCCTCTCTGTGTAATGAAACTTGATGTTTGTAAAATCTTCGGTTCACTTGAACCGAAATCCAGTTTTATTCGAATTATCATCTTTTCTTTTTTTTTTCTATTACTTATACATGTATTTTCATACATAAGAGAGTAAATGAAACACAAGGAGAGAGATAAATAACTGTCATCTACTCCAGCGTAGACTATGTTATATAAAGATAACGTCCAACGTGTTCTTTTGTTAGAATGTCCTAACATTTAGGACAGAAGAAAAGTGTGATAATTCATTGAAATTATTACGGTCGGAGAGGAAAGAAAAAGAGAGAGAGAGAGAAGAAAAGAAAAGAAAAGAATAAGAAAAAAAAGATGTAAGAGCGCTCGAATAAAGTTAAATGTATTTAAATAAATATTTGGATAGAAATTCGTTCCGAATATTTGGAACCGAACCGAAAAATTTTTAAACCGGATCGATCATATCACTGATATTTATAATAGGAAATACAATCAACAGGATAAAAATTAACCAAATCATGATACGATGGATGAATTTTTATACACTAAGTACAGAGTCGTCCTGGATATGTATATGCTGGATCAATTAGTCGTACTCTAGTAAAACTTGGTCGCTTGGAAATTTTTGGAAGAAATAAGTTTTTATTTCTCTCTCCTCTGAATGTTTTTGGAGAGACCAATGTCTATTCATTGTAATATTTGTGCGCTGTCTATGAACTGACTTTAATTCTTTTAGTGAGAATGGATGAATATTATTCCAGTGTTAGAGGGAACTTTTAGAAAAAAGAAAGTCAATTTGAAATAGCATTAATGTTTTTTTTTTTTATTATTTATATGATCTCATGTCGAACATGAATAACAGAGAACGTATTCATCAAGATTAAAAACAAACATACATGAGACTGGATCAATCGTCATATAACCAGTACGTAGTCACACTAAATATATTTGTTGAATTGAGAAGTTTTACAACAGTGTACGAAAGAAAGTATCACCAATTTGAAGAAGCAATGAATGTTTATCACTTCCGGGAAAATTTCTGTAAGGAAAGCAATTGCTGTCTTGATAGGGTTGATGCACTGTTCATAGTAGTCATTAACTACACAGTGGGATACATGTACATTTGCAGAAGAAGACTTCCTCCATCAAGTGATGCGTGTATAGTAAAACTATTGCAGACTGTTAATATTTGAGTAGAGAGTACCAACTTCAATACATCCTTTTATAGACATAGCGAGTGTAGTGCTGCCAACTGGCATATGAACATAACGCAATTGAGGTTGATAATATAGATATATATACATCAGATAATGGAGAAATTTTTCCTCTACAGTTCTACATATACCCTGTTCCAAAGTCAAAGTCTCATAGTCACCTTGAACTATATGAATTTATAGCTCTAATACGTGATCTGGTAATTGAGTTTAGGATAAATTTGAGAGTGATAAATACACAACGTTTAGATGAAGTCTACGCTAAAAGCTGGGCTCATCCATTTTTCACTTCAATAGAGCTTAGCACACTATCCGAGCACTAGTCATTCTTTAGATACGAAACGATATATTATAGAGGGCCCTAGTATTGTAAATATTTTCGATAATTTATCGCGATCAGAAATCTATTCAAATGTAAGTTTTTCTGTTGAGATTGACCTCAACGTGGAAACCAAATTTAGTGATTGTAGATAAAATCTATTCGTTTATTTATTTGTTTTAGGTAGACAGATTTCAATAATACAATGTGTGGTGAATATTTTTAACGACACTTACGTATTTTCTTTGATTTAGATTATTTTCTCTATCAACATAAGCAGTAATTGATTTCTTAGAAAATTTATTTTTTATCATTTAGACCAATCTCAATATGAAAATCGATATTTACTATTTATATATAACAATTGTTTATTTTTGATTATTCAAATTAATCTCAATAATACAACGAACAGTAAGCATTTCTTGAGAAAACTTATGTATCTTTTTTATTTTGATCACTATCTATAGCAACATAAATGGTAAGTAATTGTTTAGAGAAAAAATTGTTTTCTTTTTTCATTTAGATCTACCTTAAGATCAAAATGAACACTAAGTATAAATAGAAAAATATTGCGAATATAAAAATATTGCTTAGATCTATCTGGACGACATAATGAATAGTAACGCATTTATTTAAAAAGAAAGAAATATTTTTTTTATATTAAGGCCACTTTCAAGATCAAAATGAAGAGGGAACATACTTGGATAAAAAATTACTTTTAATTACTTACGTCATACGGGAAGAAAAAAAATACTGTGGTATTTCCAGTCAGTCTCACCTATTCTAATAGCTGCGAATGAGTTGTTAATTCGTTATGTTTTTATCTAAGAGTTACTCGGACTATAGATCAGATAGAATGTTTTAGTTTTTTACATATAAAGATTCGCTTTACAAAGGAATTTTTTATATTTGAAAGAGACAAATTTTGTTTACAAGGAGTTCAGACGTTTGAGAAAATTGTGAGTATTCAAATTGAGCATAATATGATAGGGTTCTTCGTCGTTAGGTCATTTCATAGATGCAATCTAAGAACGATTCAACTGCAAACCATTAGATCATTAGTATACTCGTACTTTCTGTTCTTCTTCTTTCTTTAGTGGTATCGAGTTTTTTATACAACACGCAAGCCTTAATTCAGTACTTTGTTGTACTTTACTTTTGTAAGGGTACGACCAAGCTCCTTTTTTTAGACTCGACCATGAATTTCTGAGGAAGATAGTTACCTAAAAAAAGGGTCTATACACTTTTTTAAATGCATTTTCAGTGATGCAGCAGTTTAAATCTTTCATTGCTACGTTCTATGTCGTTTCATGTCAGTAATATTTAAGATAATTGAAGATGTGTTTTTAAGCTAGTTGGAAAAGATAACACAAAAAATTTAAATTACTGTATCACTAAGAATGCATTTGATAAAAATGTATAGGACTCTTTGTAGGATTGTCTTCTTTAGAAATTTATGGTGGAGACT